TACTACTACTACTTTTGCTACGGATGCTACGGCTACGACTACGACTACTACTACTACTACTACTACTACTACTACTACTACTACTCTTACTACTACTAATACTACTATTACTACTACTACTAATACTACTACTACTGCGACTACTACTACTACTACGCCTACTGCAACTACTTACTATGTCCACAACTGCGATTCCTTTGTCTTTCCTCTACTACTTTTGCTGCGACTACAAACTGTTACTACCCACGTGACTACAATGGCTATCACTACTACTGCTACTACGACTACTACGGCTACCTGTTAGTATTACAACTACTATTACTACAACTTCTACTACTACTACTACTACTACTACTACTCCTACTACTACTACACATTAACTACGATTATAACGTCTATTACTTCTACTGCGACTACAATGCCCGCGACTACTACTGCTACTATCCCTACGTATACTACGACTTCTCCCGATACTGCTACGACTACTACTACTACTACTACGACTACTACTACTACTACTACTACCGTTATTACTAGTAATGCTACTACGAATCCTAAGACGACCACGACTACTACTACTACTACTACGACTACTACTACTACTACTACTACTACTACTACTACTACTACGACTACCGCTGCTACTACTACTACTACTACTACTACTACTACTTCTGCTACTACGACAACTACTACTACTACTACTACTACTACTACTACTACTACTACTACTACGACTACTGCGGCTACTGCGACTACTACTACTTCCACTACTACACCTACTACGGCGACGACTACTACTACTACTACCACTACTACTAGTACTACTACTACTACTACTACTACTACCACTACTACCACTACGACTACCACTACCACTACTATTACTACTACTACTACTACTGCTACTACTACTACTGCCGCTACGACTGTATTCCTATCACAACTACCCCGAATGCAACTACTTTCTCTATACCTACTGCTCCAAATACTCTTCTACGATTTCTGGTGCTACAACTACTACTAGTTCTGCTACCCCGACGATTACGAATAAAACTAATACAACTGCTACTACTACGACTACTACAACTACTACCCATACGGCTACTACTGTCATTCCTACTACTATTAGTAGTAGTAGTAGTACTACTACTACTACTACTACTACTACCAGTACTGCTGCTACTACGACTACTCCTACTACTGCTACGGCTACGACTACATCTACTACACCTACGACTACGACGACAATTACTACGACTACTACTACTACTTCTATAATTGCGGCTACTACGGTTACAACGACGAATACGACTACTAGTACTACCAGTACTACTACTACTACTACTACTACTACTACTACTACTACTACTGCTACTGCTACTGCTAACTACGACTACTATTACTAGTACTACTAGTACTACTACTACTACTACTACTACTGCTACTACTTCTACTACTACTCTCCCTACTACCACTCTTACTACTACGACGGCTACTACTACTACCACTTCTGATATTACTACTAGTACTACTACTAGTACTACTACTACTACTACTACTACTACTACGATTACTACTACTATTCCTAATACTGCGACTACTACGGTTCATACGACTACTACTACTACGGCCACTACTACTACCACTACTACTACTGCTACTACTACTACTACTACTACTACTACGACTACTACTACTAATACCACTACTACTGCTAGTACTACTACTACTAGTGCTACTACTTCCACTACTACCACTACTACTACTACTACTACTACTACTACTACTACTACTACTACTTCTACTACTTCTACTACTGCAACAATTACTAATACTACTACTACTACTACTACTACTGCTACTACTACTACTACTACTACTACTACTACTGCCACTACTACTACTACTACTACGACTACTACTACTACTACTACTAAGACTACTACTACTACTACTACTACTACTACTACTACTACTACTACTACTTCTACTACTGCAATTCCTGCGACTACGATTACTACGACAATTACGACGACGACTACTACTACTACTATTACTACTACTACTACTACTACGACTACTACTACAACTTCTTGTACTAGTACTACAACTACTACTGCTACTACTACTACGACGACGACTTCTACTACTACAATTCCTACGACTACGATTACTACGACTACTACTACTACTACTACTACTACTACGGCTACTACTACAACCTCCACTACTACTACTACTACTACTACTACTACAAGTCCTACGGTCACGACTGCTACTACAACTACTACTACTACGACTACTACGACTACTACTACTACTACTACTACTACTACTACTATTACTACTACTACTACTACGACTACGACGACTACTACTACAACTGCTACTACAGCTACTACTTCCACTACTACCACTACTACTACTACGACTACTACTACTAATACTACTACTACTACTACCACTACTTCTACTACTACTACTACTACCATCACTACAACCACTACAACTACTACTACTACCACCACTACTAATAATACTACTACTACTACTACTACTACTACTACTACTACTACTACTACTACTACTACTAGCACTCCTACTACTACTACTACTACTACTACTACTTCTACTACTACTTCTACTACTACTACTACTACTACTACTACTACTACTACTACTACTACTACTACCCACACTTCTACTACTACTACTACTACTACTACTACTACTACTACTACTACTACTACTACTGCTACAAATATGACTCTACTATTACTACTACACCTACAACGCGCACCGACTGAGCCGTTCCCCCATGGGTTGATATTTTATAAATTTAAACGGCACAATTCGGAACATTCGCCACAGTTACGCCCGCAAACTGGACCATTCCCCGGAGCCGCGGGGGAATGGACCAGTTGACAGGGTATGGACCAGTTCATCGGTCAGAAGCGCCCGGGGGCGTGGGGTGTCAAATGCGACGCACTCCCTGGAGCGATTCTGGACAATGGAATTGATCAACGTCTAAATTCAATCGAAGCCCCTTCCGCTAGATCCCTCCGCCGCCAGGGGGGGGGTCCTTGGGGTTGTCCCGGGAGGGGGTCAAATACGACGGCCTCCCTGGGGCGATCAGGCCAATGGAATTGATCAACGTCGTCGTTCAATCGCAAGGAAATCCATTCCCCTGATCACTCCCCCGCTGGAGAGAAGGAGGATTCTGGGAGAGGTCTCAGGGGGGGGGGGGCGGCGGATACGACGGGTGTCCCTGGGGCGATCGCTGGCAGCGGAATTGATCAACGTCGTAATAGACTCCGAGTCCAAGTGCCAATGCCGTTCCTCTAACGACGTAGTGCGTCAGATCTTAGATATCATGGTTTCAGGGTCGGCGGCAACGGCCGTAAGGCCTTCTCAAGACCTCCAGAAAGATCGATGGACACTTCTGGAAGAAACGCGCATCAGACCAGAGCACTCCCGCGGAAATCTTCTCAGGAAACACCACGGCTCAATTAAAAGGCATGCCTTCTGACCTCTCCGCGACCAGCTCGAGCGGAACAGGGTGTCCTGGTGGGCCGGACGGCCTGGGCTGCCCGACCAGGCGGGCCGGGCGGGCGGGCCGAGCCAAGCAGACCAGACATCCCGACTGCAGGGCCAGGCGGGCCTCACGTCCTTGAAGGGGCCCAAGGACACACAAGTAAATACACACAAATAAAATAATCCTCCATGTTTCCCATATGTTCTGGGTTTCTGTCCGCCCACTTCCCATATGTTCCTATATTTTCTTGGAAATCGAGGATTAATTGTGTCTGTGTGTTTCTTTTCCTCCTGAGTCCTGGACGGCAGGGCGAGACAGACGGCCATCGGCGCCCGAGGACCAAGCTGGGCATTGCACTGCACTGACGTAGATGCACACGCGTGTACTCTCGCGCTCGACATGAGTTACTGCTTTGCACAGCGCTCATGATGACAGCAGCGCCCAGAATGACGATGACGAGAAGCTGCGGGTCACGATTGCATACTATGCAACAACAAAAGAATGCCAAAAGTCAAACGGGGCGGGGCACAAGAAACAGCTATAAATACAAATTCTTGCAATTTCCAACTTGATCCGTCTCAACCCTGGGGAGGGGATACTCTATATAATTCCAATTGGCTCCCAGAACGAAGGAACCGTGAATGCTTTTACGGTTGGCTCCTGCCGTTGTCATCGCCCTTCAGCTCTTCCACTCCTCCCATTCCTGCTCCTCCTTCCGCATCTTCCCAGTTTTTCTTCTTCATCCTCGCCCTTCGAGATAACTGCGAAATCATCATTGGTTCACCCATGGTCTCCATGCTGCTGCGCTTCACCAGTCAAGGCAACTCGCCTGTGGATCGTTTCTGGATGAACTAGTGGGGATTAGCGAAACGTCCACACTGTTCATCATGTTCCCCCATGTCCTGAGTATGGAATAATTGCGCCTAGCGTGGCGCATCCGCCGCCTTCCCTCGTTTCCCGCCTCCTCGCATCCCACAGATCACCCATACTGAGGTCACTCATGCTCCTCCTCACCCATATCCAGACTGAGTCATACTCAGACCCACTCACATTCATACTCACAATTCTATTCACAACCACGCACCATCATGTGTAGAACACTCGCGCTCAGACTCACTGCCAACAGACTCACTCTTTCTGCGGCTCACTAATGCTCAGACTCACTCGCATTCGGACTAACTCGCACGTGGGTCCTCCCATACGCAGACTCACGCATACACAGCCTAACTTATGCACGCGATCACCGCGATCTAGCAGGCGTTCCATGTGTCCCCCCCCCCAGGGGGGTGCCGAGTAAGGGTATTCCACATGCTCGTTCGCGCCCAGATTGTGGGGACCTCCCAACCAGAACGAACGCTTTGGTGCGGAAGCCGTGTCTTGTCTGCCCAGGGCCCGAAACACCACAGCGTCGTAGCAAACATGCCGTTTGGGAATCACGCGTGGGTGTCGGTCATGGGTGTTCCGTGGGCCCACTCGAGCCTACTTCGTCGGGGCATCTCGAGCAGAATGGCCGTGCTGTGTTTCCTCGGATTTCCACTGCGCGGGCCATGAAACACGCGCACCGTTATAGCGATCCGCAATCGGGATCGGCTTTGCGCAGAAAACTCTGCACGAATCAGTAACTGGCAACATCGAACTGGCCAGCTGAACGCCGATTGGAACCCTGGCGTTGGCTCGGGCCAGAGCATTGGCTCGGTGCAGCTGATCTGCTCCTCCAGGGCCAGGCCATGCGGCAAGAAGGTTCGGGTTGGTCAGCATCACCAGGAACGTTTAGGCGGTGATGCAGCAACGAACCTCGAACAAACAGTTAAAATAACAGGTGCCATGGCCAGCCTAAAACACAATATAACTTGGGACACTGTCGCCACAGGTGGCTCCAAGCAGAGCGAGATGCAGTGCACCAAGACGGCGCGGGAGGAGATGGAGGGGGAGAAGGGAATGGGGGAGATGCATATGTTGCATTACATACGCCCTCCCGTCCGAAGTTCCTACAAGCCTTCCTCTTAACCAAAAGCATTGCCCCACTGAAAGACCAACCTGCCACTGATGCGAGATTTCCGCGATGAGAAAGAACTGCCCTCCATCATTACATCGAACACAAAGAACTCAAACAAACATAAGCACATAGTTCAAGTAGGTGCACAGCGGACCCCCCGTGTTGGACACATACTACCCCTGGTTTTTTTGTGGACACACGCAGGAGTGTGGTCATGATATTCGGGGGAGACACAGGCGGAATACCAATGTTACAAAGGAGCCGCCAATCATCCGAGCATCTGCTACGTGTGGTCAAGCACCTGGCCTGCACTTGAATGCTAGAAGCTCACGGCGGGAACCCCTTTATGTCAACGAGCCGTCCTCCATCCCTGTAACTGTTGTAAGCTACTATTTAAAGCGACTGCCCGCGGCACTTGGGCGAGGAACCAATTTCGAACAAGAACAACCATCCATCGTCGTAATTGTTGCAAGTCGTTTGCAATAACTGCGTGCGCCATTACAGCGGGAGCTCCACGTTTAAAAACCACCCTTCCCATCCGCTCGACCGTTGCAGGGTGTCAAAATGAATGTGCGTGGCGCTCAGACTATGGGTGCAATTGGGGAAAGTTTAGGCAGCGCGAACAGGGGTCTAGTTAAAACGAGGAGGTGCGTTTGGAGTTTCCAGCTGGTTCGCGTCAACAGCGCAATCGCCTGATGCGGCTGTCACAAATAACCCCGCCATAAATTTGATGTGCCAGGGTCTTCAAGCTTCGTGGGAATCCCAAATGCCAAATCCATCCAATTCGTTGCGAGCGAATTCCCGACTCCGCCACCGAAATCGGAAAACGCTGAAAGGCGTCCACGCCCCCTGCTCGCAGGCTCCATAGGCGATCAGGTCGGATCTGGACGTCAGGCAGCAACTGGCGAGCGCAGTAGAGCCATGTAACCCGCCAGCTGCAAAACATTGCAATAACAAAAGTGCTGGATCAGAACTGGGGAGTGCAATGTGTTTAGGCGTGCACATGTGTTGTTCGATTTTTGCTCGCAATATACAATCAAAGTCTCTGGCGCAATACATTCGCGATACAGTTGGCCGCTTGCTATACATGTGCAGTGCGCCGTCCACCGCGCGTTGCCACTGCAACGCGCGGTCTGTGCTTGACAAAAGCACTCCACATCCAAAGCGTCAACTCTTGATGCGCCTACTGTCGCCGATGGGCCGTCGAGGTCATCGGAAACATTTCGAGATGCCAGTCTGCCGTCTGCCTCAATCATTTAGATAGCCCGAGGTCGTTTGCAGGCCACACGGCGGAAGGGCGCCGTCACTTTCGCACGGGACTGTCAGACATTTCAATGCCACAAAACTGTTTTCCACCACCCCCTTTATCCCTGCGAACGTCCTCTCGGGCTGCCCAGCAAGCCGGGGCCACCCGCCCCCGCTGCAAACCTTTAAAAACGAATATTGCGAGGAGGGGCGGCGCGGCCTGACCTCGCGCGTTTCTCACGCGGCGCTACACAGGCATTTACGCAGGGCGCCGCCCCCAGGACGATCGCGTCCGCAAAGGTAGGACCACCTCTGTTCAAGGAACGGCCACGCGGCCTGACCCCACGCACTTCTCACGCGGCATCACGCAGGCACTTGCGCGGGGTCGTACTTTCAGGAAGATGGTTGCTCTTCTTTTTGAAACAAGGGCAAAGACGTCTCTTCTGTCGCGATGCTGCCCGGGGGCGAAGTGCAGGTCCCACGGCGGTCCATCAACAACTAGACAGATCGCCTGGCGGGTCCAATACGTAGCCTTGGTGGCAGAGGTCGTCAGTACAATCGCGGCTTGCCTTGTCCACCGGATTGACCCACAGATGCAGCCGTCGCTGGTGGACAATCTCCCACGCGGCATGCATCGCGTCGTTCAGATCTACGTACGCGCCGTTGCCTTTGATCAGCGCGCGCATGGCGTCCGCGTTGTCTATGAAATGGATCCAAAGTCGGCGCCCCAGGCCCGGCCGCGCGGCTAAGGCGAGCAATGATCCAACACCTTCGATTGGAGCTGTGGTCTTGGAAGCACGCCGCGCCCGTTCGCCAGGGCGCTCTCCGGGGCCCTCGTCGAGGTGATGCGAAGGCGTTTGGCTGGCTCCGCTGGGCGCCACATTGCCGCGGCGACGTTGCCCGAGCCCTCCCCGTCGACCAAGGACATGGAGAATTCGTTGAACAGAAAGAACACGACGCCGGATTTCATGGACGAACGCTTCTTCGAGCCACCCGAGCATGGAAAGCATGGCGCCATTGACCCCGGCGAACTTGCCACTTCCCTGGCAGGCTCGCTTCGGCGTCGGCACTGCTGCTCCGCGCCGGCCCCACAAGCTCAAGCGCGCCCAATTGAACGAGCCGCGCAGCGTCGAGGCGCCTGCTGCCTGGCGGGGGCGGCCGAGAGAGAACAGCTTGTCTATTCTGGCCTTGCAGAGCCACGCTATCGCCTCCAGGCCCAATCGGCGCCCCGCGCCTGGCAGGCGAAAGTGCTCGCCGGGCGGTTTGTTATTGCTTCTATTGTGCCCCCACCCGACAAGGCCCATTACAGTCGGACATGATTGGACAAGGCGCGCGAGACCATGCAAGGACCCTTCCGGGGGCCACATTGCCACAATAATGCAGGAGGCATAGGTCGCGAGAGGCAGGACACAAAGGGCGCCCTTGATCTGGCCGGATCGACCAACTAATCAGCGCCGACTGTATCTCCAACGCAAGAGTATGAGAGTGCCTTGCGGTGCAGTCTGGCTCGATATCCAACGTGTCATCAGAGCAATGGCAAAGCAAAATGCCCAAGCAGACTCTCTCAAAGTAACACATGAAATGTGGACGTTCGACGAAATTCGCCTGAACAGCCGCGTTGCCGAAAGCCCCCCCCAGCGGCCTCGCCCGCAGGGCCCGCTCAACGAGGGGGGCCCGCACCAATTCGCGACGGCGCGGGGCGCGCCCTGGCCATGGCGGGGCTCGCCGGAACGCCACCCCCCAGTCGATGCGAAAGCCTTGGTTGGAGGCGCGCACTGTCGGGGAGGGCATCTCTCAGGATACGCACTACCGCATGAGCCGATGATAAGCCATCAGGAGAATACTTCTCGCCCAGACGGCGTCGTTTCCCCTGGATGCCTTCCACTCTGAGATGTCGCGACACTTCCGCGCGCCGCGCTCCTTGAGCTCCCGCTTGGCCACCGCGGAGTTAAGCGTGCGACATCGAGGTCAAGTTCTGCGAGCTCGCCGGGCCCTTCGCAGCGCAACGTCGAAAGCTCGGCCAGGGTCTTCTCCCGCGACTTCTAGTCGAGAGCGCTCTCCAGAGCTTCGCGCGCCTCGAATCACGCGTTCATCCCGCCGCCGCGGGCACGCGGTCCACTCTTCGATCGCAATGTCGCCCATGTCGTGGTCTTCGATGGAAATCCCGCCCGGCGGGATCTCTCCCAGGCAAGGCGCCCCTCGCATCAACCGGGCAACGCAATCAGCGCCGCTGTAGTTGGCGCGCCCCACCATCCACTCCAGAAGGGGTGAATGCAGGCGGCCGATTACTTTGTGGACGTCTGGGCGCAGCTTTTCGGCGCACTCCCCCCAGGGGCTCTCCAGACGCCGAGCAGCGTCGCGAGCGGGCTGCATCCGTGAATCGCGACAGCTGTGCAAATCATCGAAGTGATCAAGCGCGCCGCCGGCGGCGTGCGCCCACGCGCCAGGCGCTGGCGGGGGCACGACAGCCGGGCGCTGCAGGCGAGGCAACTGCTCGAGGAACGCCTCGGGTCCACATCCTGGCTGGATAAGCGGCTCGAAGCATTCGCAGCGCGACTGCTCGCTAGGCGCCAGAGCGCGCCCTATCCGGGCCCGCAGTCGGCCCCTTCTCGGCTGCTCGGCGACGCCTGCCTGTGGGCTTTCGCTAGCTGCCCCCTGCAGATCGGGAGTTGCTAGAAGTGCCCCCAGGAGAAGGCGCCCCCAGGATCGGAGGCCCTCGGGGGGCAAGTCGAGCCAGGAACTGGGATGGGACACAGACTGAGTCTTCGCAATTGCGTGGCTCGAATCAGCCCCCTGCGGAGCAGCCGCGCGGCCGCGCGAACGAACGGTCGCCCGCGAGGCCGCGCGCCCCAGAGCGCCAACGTATACGACGACCCACGCCAAGGCCCGCGCGCAGAGACCTCGCAAAGAACCCCGCAGTCACCCCGACAAAAAAAACAAGTCAAGACCACAAAGAGACCCCTCCAAAAACTTCGCCGAGAACCTTACGAATACCTTGCAATGCCACGCAATACCCTGCGAGAGACCCTGCCATGCGCTGCAATGCCCTACAGCTGGGCCTGCGATACCTTGCAACTGCCCTTCAATCTCTCCAGCGTCCAGCCCTCTGGGCGTAGAACGTTTGAGGAATCCTGCCTCCGCTGGGGGCGCCCTCTCGGGCCCACCCCCGAAGCTTCGGGAAGGCCCCCGGGGGGGCTCCAAGACAGGCCCGGGAGGGCGCCGAGAGAAGCCGCAGAGGGCCTGCGAGGGCCACAAGAGCGGCGCCTCCGAGGGAGGCGCACGACGCATCGCGCAAAACTCCGTCTGGCGGAATTTGGCGTGACGACCGCGAATGCCGAGCGGGCGCTCTCTTTTGGCTCTCTCCGGGCCCTCGCGGGCCCCTCTCTGCAATTTCCGGGAGCTCCTTGGGCCCCCCCTGGCCGCGTGATATCGTTGGGGCCCAGGCCCCAACGATGTCATAGGAACATGCTATCGCATGAAATCGCGGGAGCCTGAGCCCCGAAGCTATCGCGCGGCTTAGGGGGGGCCCGCAGGGACCCCCGAGAGGGCCCCAAGAGCCCCCGCGACCATCTCGGGCCCTTTCCGCGGCCCTGTGCGGGGGCTCTCCCGGGACTCCTGGCGACAACAAAGCTGGAGCTATTCTTCCATTCCCCCGCGTCCACATTCCTTTTTCCACTGCAAGCGGCTGCCCCGTTTTGCGTTTCACCGCGCGCT